GACAACGCTAATTTTTGTCTTATTTCTTTGCCTCTGCTTGCAAATATATCAAAGACACATTGACTTTATATTTTTTTGAAATTTTGGCCGAGTTGTGTTTTGTTAATATGGAGCCCGCTAATATGAATTCCCAGCACTATGGACAAAATACTGGAGAACGAATTGGCCATATGCGTAGATTTTTGTCCCCTTATCATGTTAAACTCCCATCATGGGCGATGTTTTCAGGAAACGAAGATGTCCGTGAACGCCCTATTACCACTAAATAGAAACACGGATTTGTTTATCCCCCGAGAAAAAAATATATTCGTTTTGACTAAGACTGTCCGAACAAGCTTCTTTCGATCATGTCCCCTATCCACAGGCAGGATATTTTGAGGTATGTTGACCACGCTAAACTCCAAGAACGATTTTTTAGTGACGTAAATTGGACGTGTCTGGGAGCCGAGTTTCGAGTTTAAGGTCCCATCGTGGGACTTTTCGCTCTGCGAGTTAACTGTCTCAGAAATGTTCAGAGTCTTTTCTGAAACAGTTAGCCCGAGAACAAGTCATCACGTCCTCTGTCGCCGGTACTGTACCGCCAATATTGGTCCAGGTGCCTAGCTTGGCGTTGTTCACTGCGTGCGCTCGGCTTCGGTTAGAGTTCGGCGATTTCCATTCCCGCATGCTTGGTCAAAAAGGAATAAATCTAGACCATCCGCCTACGCACTGGATGTATCGGAGCGCGAAACAAACCACAACAACAACACAGTCATTGTGCGGATCCGTGAGCTACATTTCGTGGCTGCGCTTTGAAACAGAAACGGAAGGCCTCCAATCAGAATCTGAAGCACACGACGCTACGAATGCATGGGAACAGTTCGCTGGTTCGTGATACCTTAAATATATATATATAAAAAATAGGGTTTCGCCGCATGAACGGCTTAGTGTGAAAGAATTGAATCTTGGGATAAGAAGGGTTAGGTTTTCATATATTTTATTTCGAATTCAGTCGCAATGGCGGAGGAATTATTGAGGCGGGGGGGGGGGGGGGGGTAGAATTATCAGTTTGTCGGAATCATAAAAATAGGGAATCTGCAGGACATTATATACAAAACGTAATCTAGCAAATGTATAGTCGGAACATATCATCGGGTGGCTACACCACCACCTTTGTAGGCGACTATGGGGTGACACAATGAAAAGCAGCATTTTGCATTACGTGACCCTTTCATACGGCCAATCACGCGCGCATCTGGCCCAGTCGAGAGGCCTGTAACAATGTACTGATTTAAGCAAATAGTCGGACTCGATTACACGAAAACAAATACCCAATCGTTTGCTGTATACTGTGCAGTGCAATTGACCATGTGCTCGATCGAACGTGGTTCGAAATTTTTATAGTTAGTTTGTTATTTTTAAACGTGGCCTATTCAGGAGTCTACAGAATTTTTTTCCAGCGAGGACAAATACATTTATCCAAGGTATAAAACGGGTGTTTTGGAAACCATATATCCTGCTACTTTTCAGGCCAAAGTAAATTGAAAATCTTGACACAGGCATGGAACTCCGTAAATTAGTTAAGACGTGATTGCCTAAATTTACTAGTCCGTAGCATTAGTTCTGAAACCTTGGGCCACGAATTGTGTAATTGAACTCTACTATATAAATACACGACACAGGGCTCATTCGATTGGCCTGCATTAGCCAGCAGTGGTGCAGAAAAGTGCAAGGAAATGTATACTTCAGGTTGTGTTTTTAGATTGGCTGCACTCGTAAATCGGATAAGGTTGTATGCACCAAGTGCAGCTGGTGCAGGAGATGCAGGTAAATAAAAACAACCTAGAGTCATAACAATGTATTACGAGATAAAATTTCACAGCGACACTGCGCCTCCCTTTTCACGGTACTCACCGTATGCTCCCGTTCACAGCGCAGACTACACATGTAGGTCGATTCCTTTCGTATTTTAGACTCATCATTCGTTAAGCTCGCTCCGTAGGTTTCAGTCATTTTGTGAACGAGTGCTTTGGAAAAGGTAGATGCTATAGACATTGGTTTTATCGTGCTCTGCATGGAAACCAAACTGGAGTATGCTTTACAGACTGGTGTGAGGGTAGTAGAGTATCATACATATGCGCTTCAATATTATGGTCTTCAAAATAGAATGCTTTGAACGAAGACAGCAAAATACTCTAGATGTGTTGTGCACGGTGAATATTGTTCCGGAACGGTGCCTCATTTGTACAGAATGTCAAGAATTGCCAAGACATCGGCAAGGGCCGGCCGCAGTCCTCTCCTCAAGAATTGGGAGCTTGAGCGGTCTCGTTTTTTGCACTATTGCGGGGGTATCAGCTAAATATATGTTAAATTTCTCGGAAATATTTAAAACACGTATTTAGCGGGTAAACGTGTTGGCTACTTTGCTGACACCCTGCTTGGTCATGTACCTCACACTGCTATAATAATTAAATGACAAATGAAAACCAGTTACAACATAGAGCGGTAATTATATCGCTTGAGAAGAGTATACGGTAGTTCATCGTGTCATAAAATATTACTCAAAAGAGAGTCGTTTAGGATAATTCCTCGAGCACACATTCAAGGCAGTCGAATAAAAACTGCAATCAGCCACATTAAGGCAATCGGTAGACTTCAGATATTCCAGATTTCCAGACAGGCACCACCGGACAGTATTCTTGCCCGAAGTGAGTCATCTTCTCGCGAATGCGTGACAGCGTTGGAGCAGTATCGGATATTTCTTATCAAAGTGCAAAAACAATCAGCTGAAGCTCCCTCGTAATAGTTGTTCAGGTGCAAGAAGTACACTTAGTGACAGCGACTGGTACCGCTCGACGAAGCTCGCAAGAGTACGTGGCTCTAGAACACCATGCCAAGGGCCACACAGAAAACACTGAAACATGCGCACATTTCTTAAATACAGTCCCAATTCAAAGCAAAATTAGTCAGCTCAGGTCCTTTGTATTATCGTTTAGACAGATTGGCAGTCCTAAATTTTATCACATGTATTTCTTTGCGCATCTATTAACGGGAAATTTACGAATTTTGTTTCTTCGTAAAGGAAACTTACCACAAAATAAAGGCGAAATCAGGAGTACCATATCTGCAGTTCGATGACTCGGGTAACGCTGTCAAGCAAAGGTTCGATAGCACAAAAAAAAAAAAAAAATAGGTGGAAAGAGTTTTATAGAGTCGCCCTAAGAACAAGAATCGTGTAATTAGCACTAGATACGCTTACCATTTTTGACGATGCTTTGGTTTTTTTTACTAAAAAGTGTCATGGTTTCTTATCTGCCGAGGAGTTAAGATGGGCCATGTATACCCGACACTGACAGTTAATTTTACGTCGTTTTTTTGATAAACTAAAGCTTTAAAGACATACAAAGAACGAAGGTAGTGGAAGTTGGGGGGAGGAACTTCCAACGGAACAGCCACGATTACGCAAACTGGGAAACGACGTTGCGGTAAGATAATTACTAGCTCAATGTTCACAGCCACTGAAAGGTTTCCGAGGTTTTTTGTGTTTTTTAACTTTAGAAACGTTTTGATGTTTGATGTTTGATGCTATATCCTTCAGACATTCCTCTTGGCCGGGTATTTGCACCCCTCTTACTCGTATGAGTTAGGGCCCAAATGAGAGGCTTTAGAACACACTCGAAACTTTTACGATCGATGCCGCGAAAATGTTCCTCCAGCGCTCAGACGAGGCATATTAGTGTAGAAATAGAGCCTCATATTTTATCAGAAAGGTGGTGGAGAAACAAGCGCTTTGAAGGATGGGCCCTTCCAGAGGTACGGTACAAATGAGATGGTTGACTCTCATACCCTGACTGGACGTGGTCATGAATCTGTCCCTTATAGATTTCCCTGAACGTGAAGTAACAGAGGGCACTATATACAAGGGGAAATATACAATGTGCGGCACGGTGAGGACGAGCACAATATTCCTGACTTCTCGTATCTTACTCATACACTATAGCAATGAACGAATTTCGCCACCGAAAATTGAGGCCCTGAAGAGAGTTTAATATGATGTTTTTTGTATCAAACCTCCTAAAAGGCAGTAAAAGCGCAGGAAAGACGGGATTCGGGTGATCGCGTTAAATGTGCCGCACTCCGTACGTCAGATCTCACTGCTCCACGCACAGTACGCACCCACACTTTAACTACGCCACAATGAATGCCCAATTGAAACCCTACGCGTGATAAAGCAAATGGGTCACAAAAACTTTGTGTCATAGCTAATACGACTGCTGCATTTCCGGGATGTGGTCTTTTTCTATGTCTGTTGCCAAATTTAATTTTAGGGCGACTATGACTTACGGTTGCGTCTTACCGCGCGAAATAGTTATTTTCTTTTTTACTGCTAAGCCTGATGATAAGCAGCTTTGACTTAAGGCGTGTTCAGACATACGACCCAGTGCCAATTCGGCGCGATAACCACAGCTCTAACTCAGCGCTGTAGACCAACTCCCCTTTCTGACGTCACGTCACTGCGGTAACACTGCTGTTGGTACTGCGCATGCGTAGATTCTTCGCCTCAGGTGAATGTGGTTTCTGCGCAGGCTCAGTTTCCATGCCCGATGTGGTCAGACACGGCCTTGTTTGTAAACGCTGTGTTGGTGGATAGACACAGCGCAGACCTTGCCTCAGCGCCGAAGCACCGCCAATTTCGGTATTATTTTAGCCCTGAGGTGCATGTACCAGCCTGCCATTAAAATATCTTTTGCGGGAAGGCCTCAACGTTTAATGATAATTCGCCGCCGCACCACTGTTGCACAAAACGAGCAGTCAACTATTTTATATTGCAAACTCGGTCGACCAGCTCATGATTGAGCTACTCTACGTGACCACCCAGGCTCATAGCCGGGGAAGGGGGAGGGGAGGGAGCTAGGGGAGGGGGGGAGGCTTTTGGGGTTTCAGCCGCCCCCCCTACATCCAGCCGACTGTATAATATACACGTGCATTTTGACGTTCCCTCCCCCTCTCTGCACCCCGAGTCATGGACATCCTCAGGCACCTCAGCCGCCCCCGTAAAAAATTCCTGGCCACGCCACTGTGACCAACAACTTCGACGCAAAACTGTAAATTAGCGCGATACCCTCACTGTACAGCTCCGTATATCGGACATTTGATCCGGCTTGCTTGACTGGAGGCTGGGATAGTAAAATCGTGTGGCACAAAAGGCAATCCGTCATCCATTCGCTAATCGCAGAAAACTGAGATCGCCACCTTCCAGCTAATCCGATCTCCTTATCACTCAGATCTCTCCCTCGTCAAACACAAATCACTTTTTTTTTTTAACGAAAAGACCACAAACCAGCTACTTCATAGATCACCTACACGCAGACAGTGTCGTGGAGAACGCAACCAGTCCCAAAAATTGGAGTGTGTGAAGAGCAAACGCCACCCGAGCCGCACTCCCGTTGCTCTTCCGAGAATTTGAAGTGTGTTTGCGCAGCGCCCTCTGCTGGCTGAGCACCACTTCCACGTCGTTGTCCATCGACTGCGCGTCCCGGTCGCGTTCATTTTTGGTCGCCGTGTCAGGAACGTTCGAAACGGCGCCTTTGTCGACGATCTTGTTTCCCTCGTCGTCGTCGCCGCGCCGTCCCTTGTCTTCGACAGGTGGACGACGCGGGGGAACCTTGCCGCGCGATGCCGTGCCGAAGCTGGGTTTCGCGTAGTCCTCGGAGCAGCCCAGTTGACTGGCACTGAGTCGGGACACCTTGCTGCTGCTCAGGTTGCCCTGGGCTTCGAAGTCGCACTTGACGTGTCGCAGCTCGCGCCGGAACTTGTCGCTCCTGGTGGCATTTTCCAGGTGCAAGACCCAGGCGAGGCGGCAGTCGCAGCTGAACTTGTTGCCTGGGAAGAGAAGGGACAGAGAAGGGTCTGGATTATAGTCAGGTAATTCGACAAGTGAGCAGGCTGTTTGCGAAAAAAAAGCGGTCATCAATAGGTGATGAAATCTTCCGTGTTTCAAATCACTTAGCGGAATCGGCAACAGCGAGTGTCGAGCACTACTGGAGCTCTAAATTGAACACTCGGCGAGAAAGTTGGCGAGATTCCTAACAGCTGCGAATGACCAGCGCCGCGCTGCGATTGGCCAACGCGAAGGTCAAGCCTAGCTGTAGCTTATTGCGGCGGTTCGAGAGTGCAGCTTAGAGCCCCTGGTCTACTAGCAAGAGTGGTTGCTCGACCAACGCCGAGGAAGAGAGACACCTAGAACAGACGCAAACCCAGCAGTCCTAAACAGGGTTGTAAAAGTTACTTCAAAAGTGTATCTAAGATACAGTTACAGTTACTCATACGAAAAAATACCTAAGTTCGTACCTAGGTATTCGCTCAGAAATGCACCCAGGTACAGGCACAGTTGTTTCAAAGTTACTTTATTTACTTTCCCCAAATTTGTCAGAATATACTGGAAGTAAAGCTTTTTATATAGGAATACAAACAAAAACGAGTTTGATAAATGAGCTTGATAGGCGTCAGTGCGATGTCCAGATCGGAGTTGAGTCCTCACGTGCCTTATCCCCCCCCCTCCAATTGGTTCGCCAAGGCCACAGCTTCCACTGTTTACCATGTCACGCCGAAACCGCCGAAACTCGCTTGTTGACGTTCTTTTCTTCAGCACCGGTGCTGACGTCGACGGGCCCAGAAGACGTCGGCCGCATGAAGAAAGGCATGAGTCGAGTGCATATGCACCTAAACTTCGCGACGACAAACAAAAAACTTCAAGCTTCTTTATTTTTTTTTCTGTCGTCAGTCGGAAGAAAAGTAAGTTTCTTACTTTTCTTCCGAGTCCAAGTTAGTTTTAATAACTGCAATGTCAGTTTAACAAAGTCAGTTTTAATAGCTGCAAAATTTGAGTCCAATTTATAGAGTGGAAATTATATTATATACGCGACGTTACATTGCTTTACGATTGTAATTATACCTTATTTTCAATTATATTCTATATTGTACTCATGGCAAAAGAGAGCCGCCACCAGGACATACAGGCAACAGACACTGCGCACAACTTTCAAGTTATCTCCTCACTTGCAAAGCTGTCAGAGGAGCTTCAAACATGCAATGAAGTCGATTTCGGTTTGAGATGAACGAAGATCGCTATTTTCCCTAAAAGGAGTTCCGAAGCTATTCGACAAATTGGTGTCACTAGAAGGGCATCGCTCATCCACCATTCGCTCAAATGAACACCGAGTTCGCTAAAGTGTTGTTTGATAGAAAATCGTTCGCTAAAACGTCGTTCGATCAAGTCTACCTCCCAGGTCGTATCCAACTCAACGTTTATCACGGCACATGGTAGTGTGTTATTACTTCAAAATTTACAATTTCTACCATTTTGAAAAAGTGAATAGAAAAGTACCTGTAAAAAGTAACTTCACTTAGTTACAAGTTACTGGAAAATGCACTTAAGATACATATACAGATACCGAGAAATGAAGACACCTAGGTTTGTACCTGAGGTACAACATAAGTACCTAAACAGCTATTCCCAGTTACGTCTACCTAGGTACTTTAAAACCCTGGTTTTTTTGGTCAGTAGCCCTAAAGGCTGGACTCGATGGAGTGAATATGCGCCGAACGACCGACGAACTTCGCCCGATGACACATTCGCTATCCGCGCGGCGCAACTGAGCCACTGTTCTTGTGCCGCGCTCATGGCGCGTTCACACTGGAAGCAGATCCGCGACCGCAAGGCGGATCTGCGCGTTTTGAACCGCAAAGCGGCTGATATTGAGCGGTTGCGGCGCGTTTTTACCAACCGCTTCGAAACCAATTTCTCCCAACCGCTTTCGCGAACTGCGAAGCGGTAACCAATCGCAACGCGACGCTGACGTGGCGTCGGTGGCTTTCGAAACAAGATGGCATCTGTCGCTGTAGTCCTAGCGTTGCAGCAGATAAATCAACAAAGAAACTTGATGTCCACGTCTGTCACTTGAATCTCTCGCGAAATTAATTTACTCGTAATCTTAACGGGCTTGGCTCCGGTAGTTTGTTTCGGGTAAGCTGGCTTGTTTATTATTCGGGATGCCAAAGTTCGTCTCTGCGCCGCCTTGTCAGTCTTTGTCCGTATAGAACAACAGACCGAAATGACACCCACTAAGACAGTCGCGTGAACTATTGAAATCTTTCGACACCGTGCATGACCACCACGAAGGCCGATAGAGATGCCGTGAGCCCAACTGCGTATCCAACACACTGCAGCGGAGCTGGCAGGGTACCTGAGCTAGCTCAACTTGTCACGTTTCGAGTACCCAAAGAAATAAGGGGATTCTATTCAAGAAATAAAGTGTAAGTACGTGACGATGCACAGCTAATCCGAACGGCATTTATTTGAGCTTAACGTTCAATAAACAGCAGACTCGATCGACGTGTAAGTGACGAGAGCAGAGTCTGCCGCCAGCGAAGCCACGACCGGCTAGTATCGGACACATTCCCCCGCACCACGGTCCGCCAGAGACGCTCGCTACTCCCAAAATGATAAGAAGGAACAACACGGGGCGAAAGCTGGCCCTCTGTCCCGAAACCAGGGTCAGCTATTCATGCAGGAAGGGTCCACACTGAAGATAGGGTCGGGGGCATCCTCTTCTGAGTCACTAATGTGCGCCTGGGTGGACTTTGCTTGTGTGTGAAGTCGAGAGAGTCGCAGGTACGTTTTACGGGTCCACGTCTATTTTTTCACAGCTTGAACTCATGCTGCGAGTGAACATCCTGATAAAAAGCCTTCCAATGCAAAATAGCAAAAGTTTGGCTTCTGATCCTGCTTTAAACTGTATTATGGATTGTCAAAGTAGCCAAACGCAAGTCTCAAAAGGTCACGAGTGATGTCCGAGAAACCACAAGCCGTATCTCGGTGTGTCTGTACGGCGTTGCTCGTGAACCGCATCCGCAACCGCTTCGTAAACGCATCTCAACAGCCAGTGCGAATGCGCCGTCAGAGCGAACGCCGCTGGGCGAAATTCACTCGCGTCTCCGCGGCATATTCGCCCTCTGAGTTCGGCCCTAAATCTTCGTTCGCATAAAATGTACAACTACTCAATTTCCGATCCCTTCTTTTTTATCGCCTCCGGTCTCCACATGGGGAAGCGACTCCTTCATGTAAGAAAGATCTTTGCAGGCTATTCTTTTTTTTCTCCACACAACATTACAATACGAAGAATAAAAGTAAGAGCATGGCGACATTAAGTTGCTACGGCAAGAATATGCCAGATCTGTCTTCCTTAAACCTGCACTCCCTTTCTAAGCGACGCCTTACGATCTATGAACGTTGCGCTATGATCTGCCCCATACTCCAATGATCGCTCCCCCCCCCCCCTCCCCCAATCTGGCATTTTGAACAACCAGGCAGTCGACATCATAGCAATGAGACTCAGACGCGAGATAAAAGGGAGTAATATTAGACCGTAACGAAAATCCCGAAATACTGTATTCGATACTTTCCCGTTGTCTTTGAGCAAGCGTTGTATTCTTTATTGAGTATCGTTATCGGAGCGCAAAAATGATCTCTTAAAACTCCTCAGTGACGTGTGAATTGGACCGAGCGCGATGGCACACTTTTAACGCCGTCATGCATCGTTACCGCTTGCTCGTCACCCACAGCTGTACCCGACATGCGCCGCCAAGGGCTCACAAGCCTTCATTGTACTCCCTTGTCGGCACACGATGTCTGCTTGTCTAACGAAATTAATAAGTTCACTCGAGAAAATATTCTAAAAAAAAGAGACTCAATCCTTCTACAGTTTTACCGAAGCGACACGAACGTGCCAATTGAAGGAAACAAGGAGATTAGTGATTATTTTACATAAATAATACCTTTTATTTCGAAGAAGTTCCCTTCGACATGGACACAACCGGCTGGATATCCTTGTGCACTTATGCGCACGATAAAAAAAGGAAGAAAATCCAGTGTGTTGGATCCGTTCGCTGCGGCGGTTTCTGTGCACATGTTAATATACCAGATTCAAGGAGACAGCAGAGATACGGAATTGACTCCATAAATCACTGGTTCTCAACCATTGATCTTTCGCGGACCCCATGTGGATCGCCGAAGATGGTGGGGGACCCCGTTCGTAGTGAGGGGTGGGAACGGTATAGATTAAATATGACAATGATTAATTAAATCAATATAAGTGCTAGACTTCTATCATTAACGTACACACAAGAAAACCCACTCGAAAGTTGGAAAGTTTCTTTTCAATCTAGAAAAATTCAACTTTTATTGGCGGGCTTGACTAATGAATCAGGGCTGCGCGGAACCCTACAACGCTTTTGCGGACCCCAAAAGGTCCGCGGACCCCCATTTGAAAACCACTGCCATAAATAGCTCTCGACACACGAGGACGATGACGATAAATCTACTACCCATGCCCGTGTAAAAGGTTATTTGATACTAGATACGTAGTTTTCTCATAAACGTAAGCGAAGAACAGCGCGTGTTCTGAAGCATTCTTGTTTATTTCATGGGATGAAGAACAATAGATCTAGTTTAAAAACCAGGTACTTCAAAACGAAGGCGTCGACAAAGTGAGGGAGAGGAGGAGACGCGCGGAGACGTTAATGCGTTGAGCTCTGATTGGAAGGATTAGTGGGTAGACCTAAAGCTAGCTGCCTTCGCCTCCACTGCACTCGTCGAACGTGTTAGAGAACGCCGGCGTCAGGCGTTCGCATTCGAACACGTCCGACGAGTGCAGCGGACACAAAGGCAGCTAGATATAAGTCTACCCACTAATAATTCCCATGAGCTCGTCTGCCTGATTTTCTCGACGCATAAAAATGACGAGTAAACTTGTATAATAAAATACTTGGGTAACTCTCTTCCTAGCCAATATAACGTTACGAGCATAGGGACGATAGTATAA